TTTCAGGGGTTCCTTCCACCAGGAAGCAGCACAGAGAGGCTCCTGCTCTGCTCCAGGCCCCCTCCTTCCCCTGCAACCCTCCCGCCCCCCCCAACCGGGGGGTCTCAGATAGACTCGGGGAAGGGCATCAACCTGTGGCGGGGGTCAAGAGAACGCCCTCTCGCCCAGGCTTTTATCCCTGTGTGAAATCTCTCTGTGGGGGGGGGTGAGGCTCCCAGCCTGTCCTCTGTCGGCAGCAGCACCATCTGCAGGTCTTCCTCCTTCCCGAGGAGGAGCAGGAGGTCTCGCTGGGGAGTGTCCCCCTGGCCGCCCCCTCCATGTCCCACCCGAACCCTGCATGCTTTGGAGGGCTGGCCTTTCCAAAGGATTAATATGTGTCATTCTCACACACACAGACACAGACACAGACACACACACACACACACACACACACGACCCCAGTCAGCCCCTAAAGCCCTGGTCTTTGCCGCAAACCACCCCCCCCCGTCTGTGCCTGCCTTTTACATGCACACACATTCATCTGCTCTCTCTCTCTCTCACACACACACGCACGCACGCACGCACGCACACACACACACACACACACACACACACACACACAGGGGCCCTGGGCTGCTGCCAGGCTCCAGAGAGGCTTCCCTCTCCAGCTGCCTTTTGTTCTGGGGCTGCTAAGCACATGGACTCCAACCCCCCCCCAGCACAAACTGAAAGGTTCATTCATGCTGAACAAAACGCCGAGGGCTCGGGAGAGAACCTCCCAGCGCCAGGGATCGGAGGCTGTGCCAGACTGCTGCCAACGGCCCTGGGCGCTTGGGGTTCCTCTCTGCAAGAGTGGGGGAGGGGAGGGGGGAGATGGGGTGGCGCTGCTCCAGTGCCGCCCAGGACAGGGAGGAGATGCAAGGCGCTCGCCGCAGGACATGAGGCAGACTGGCCTTGGGCCACCCCCGGCAGCATTGCCCCCCCAGCCCCTCGATTTCTGACCCTTGTAGGCTTCAGTGGTAGGCGTGGCTCTAGTGAATGTGGTGGGGAGTCACTGTCACCTCGAGAGGTCCCCCTGGGTGCTCAATGCATTCTGCCTATGCTCTTGAGGCACGCTGGCTGACTGCCAGCACACGGCTGGCACAGCAGTGACGCCAGTGCTTCTGAAATTCTACTGTGCACAGTACATGAGTAAACGGTGGAATTCACTGCCACAAGGTGTAGTAGTGATGCCTGCAAAGTTGGACAGCAGCAAGAGATGTAATGGCAAATCTGCAGAGGTGAGGGCTGGCAGTGTCAGAGTTCCCCATATGGCAAGACAGAGGGTGCAATTGTCCTCACAAGTGCCTAGTAAGCTTTGCATAGGCTACAGGCTGTCCTCTGCAGGGGGAGCAGAACGCTGGGCAATTTCCGTGAAAGCAGATACTGTAATTGAGCATCTCGCATCAGCAAGAGGACAGCGCAAAAGCAGGTTTCAGAACACATCAGCCTCCCAAGAAACTCTCTTACTGTGGGACTGGGAAAGGATGACAATGGGAGACTTAAGATGAAGGTGCCTGAAACCAGTTGAGCGCACAAATTCCAGAGTACATCTAATGCTTGTGCAAAGACCAGTATTCATAAGCTGATTCTTGGGTATTAACAGCAGTTGTTTTCTTTGCCAAAACTCTGGCCTCAGAATCAAAAGGTGATTTAGAAGAAAGGAAACCACTTTGCTGAAACAAACTACTTGGTGCCACAAAGGCTGCCGCCTGGCAGACAACGAATCGCTCCACTCAGGGCCAAATTGTTTCTGTCAAGGCCCCTGGGAACCCTAACCCTGTGGGGACAACCCGGAAGGTCCTTTGTGCATGCCTGCTGCCCTCCCTCCGTGCATCTCTTCCTTCTTTCCTTCCTTCCCTCTCTTTTCCTTCCTTCCTGTTTATCTTCCTTCCTCCCTCCCTCCCTCCCTCCCTTCCTCTTTTCCTTCCTCCTTTCCTTTCTTCCTCCCTCCCTTCCTCCCTCCCTCCCTCCCTCCCTTCCTCTTTTCCTTCCTCCTTTCCTTTCTTCCTCCCTCCCTTCCTCCCTCCCTCCCTCCCTCCCTTCCTCTTTTCCTTCCTCCTTTCCTTTCTTCCTCCCTCCCTTCCTCCCTCCCTCCCTCCCTCCCTTCCTCTTTTCCTTCCTCCTTTCCTTTCTTCCTCCCTCCCTTCCTCCCTCCCTCCCTCCCTCCCTTCCTCTTTTCCTTCCTCCTTTCCTTTCTTCCTCCCTCCCTTCCTCCCTCCCTCCCTCCCTCCCTTCCTCTTTTCCTTCCTCCTTTCCTTTCTTCCTCCCTCCCTTCCTCCCTCCCTCCCTCCCTCCCTTCCTCTTTTCCTTCCTCCTTTCCTTTCTTCCTCCCTCCCTTCCTCCCTCCCTCCCTCCCTCCCTTCCTCTTTTCCTTCCTCCTTTCCTTTCTTCCTCCCTCCCTTCCTCCCTCCCTCCCTCCCTCCCTTCCTCTTTTCCTTCCTCCTTTCCTTTCTTCCTCCCTCCCTTCCTCCCTCCCTCCCTCCCTCCCTTCCTCTTTTCCTTCCTCCTTTCCTTTCTTCCTCCCTCCCTTCCTCCCTCCCTCCCTCCCTCCCTTCCTCTTTTCCTTCCTCCTTTCCTTTCTTCCTCCCTCCCTTCCTCCCTCCCTCCCTCCCTCCCTTCCTCTTTTCCTTCCTCCTTTCCTTTCTTCCTCCCTCCCTTCCTCCCTCCCTCCCTCCCTCCCTTCCTCTTTTCCTTCCTCCTTTCCTTTCTTCCTCCCTCCCTTCCTCCCTCCCTCCCTCCCTCCCTTCCTCTTTTCCTTCCTCCTTTCCTTTCTTCCTCCCTCCCTTCCTCCCTCCCTCCCTCCCTCCCTTCCTCTTTTCCTTCCTCCTTTCCTTTCTTCCTCCCTCCCTTCCTCCCTCCCTCCCTCCCTCCCTTCCTCTTTTCCTTCCTCCTTTCCTTTCTTCCTCCCTCCCTTCCTCCCTCCCTCCCTCCCTCCCTTCCTCTTTTCCTTCCTCCTTTCCTTTCTTCCTCCCTCCCTTCCTCCCTCCCTCCCTCCCTCCCTTCCTCTTTTCCTTCCTCCTTTCCTTTCTTCCTCCCTCCCTTCCTCCCTCCCTCCCTCCCTCCCTTCCTCTTTTCCTTCCTCCTTTCCTTTCTTCCTCCCTCCCTTCCTCCCTCCCTCCCTCCCTCCCTTCCTCTTTTCCTTCCTCCTTTCCTTTCTTCCTCCCTCCCTTCCTCCCTCCCTCCCTCCCTCCCTTCCTCTTTTCCTTCCTCCTTTCCTTTCTTCCTCCCTCCCTTCCTCCCTCCCTCCCTCCCTCCCTTCCTCTTTTCCTTCCTCCTTTCCTTTCTTCCTCCCTCCCTTCCTCCCTCCCTCCCTCCCTCCCTTCCTCTTTTCCTTCCTCCTTTCCTTTCTTCCTCCCTCCCTTCCTCCCTCCCTCCCTCCCTCCCTTCCTCTTTTCCTTCCTCCTTTCCTTTCTTCCTCCCTCCCTTCCTCCCTCCCTCCCTCCCTCCCTTCCTCTTTTCCTTCCTCCTTTCCTTTCTTCCTCCCTCCCTTCCTCCCTCCCTCCCTCCCTCCCTTCCTCTTTTCCTTCCTCCTTTCCTTTCTTCCTCCCTCCCTTCCTCCCTCCCTCCCTCCCTCCCTTCCTCTTTTCCTTCCTCCTTTCCTTTCTTCCTCCCTCCCTTCCTCCCTCCCTCCCTCCCTCCCTTCCTTCCTTCCTTCCTTCCTTCCTCCCACCATCATCTCCTTCCTTCCTTCCTCCCACCGTCATCTCCTTCCAGGGGTCGGAAGAAAGGTCACCTGATTGGAAGCCGCGGCTTCGGCAGGCCCAGGGGCTGGGCTGGGCTGGGTGGCTGAGACTCTTCTGGGTTTTGAAGGCTCCTCTGTCCTCCCGCCCCTCCCTCTTAGGGTTGGGTGGTGTAAGAGACCCTGGAAAGACTTTGTATGGGAAAGGGGTG